CAGGGGCAGCGGGTCACCGAACCGCACAGCCGCTGTGACATATACAGACAGGGACAGGGACCAGGCGGTCAGGGGCAGCGGGTCACCGAACCGCACAGCCGCTGTGACATATACAGACAGGGACAGGGACCAGGCGGTCAGGGGCAGCGGGTCCCCGAACCGCACAGCCGCTGTGACATATACAGACAGGGACAGGGACCAGGCGGTCAGGGGCAGCGGGTCACCGAACCGCACAGCCGCTGTGACATATACAGACAGGGACAGGGACCAGGCGGTCAGGGGCAGCGGGTCACCGAACCGCACAGCCGCTGTGACATATACAGACAGGGACAGGGACCAGGCGGTCAGGGGCAGCGGGTCACCGAACCGCACAGCCGCTGTGACATATACAGACAGGGACAGGGACCAGGCGGTCAGGGGCAGCGGGTCCCCGAACCGCACAGCCGCTGTGACATATACAGACAGGGACAGGGACCAGGCGGTCAGGGGCAGCGGGTCCCCGAACCGCACAGCCGCTGTGACATATACAGACAGGGACAGGGACCAGGCGGTCAGGGGCAGCGGGTCACCGAACCGCACAGCCGCTGTGACATATACAGACAGGGACAGGGACCAGGCGGTCAGGGGCAGCGGGTCACCGAACCGCACAGCCGCTGTGACATATACAGACAGGGACAGGGACCAGGCGGTCAGGGGCAGCGGGTCCCCGAACCGCACAGCCGCTGTGACATATACAGACAGGGACAGGGACCAGGCGGTCAGGGGCAGCGGGTCCCCGAACCGCACAGCCGCTGTGACATATACAGACAGGGACAGGGACCAGGCGGTCAGGGGCAGCGGGTCACCGAACCGCACAGCCGCTGTGACATATACAGACAGGGACAGGGACCAGGCGGTCAGGGGCAGCGGGTCACCGAACCGCACAGCCGCTGTGACATATACAGACAGGGACAGGGACCAGGCGGTCAGGGGCAGCGGGTCCCCGAACCGCACCGCCGCTGTGACATATACAGACAGGGACAGGGACCAGGCGGTCAGGGGCAGCGGGTCCCCGAACCGCACCGCCGCTGTGACATATATTGACAGGGACAGGGACCAGGCGGTCAGGGGCAGCGGGTCCCCGAACCGCACCGCCGCTGTGACATATACAGACAGGGACAGGGACCAGGCGGTCAGGGGCAGCGGGTCCCCGAACCGCACCGCCGCTGTGACATATACAGACAGGGACAGGGACCAGGCGGTCAGGGGCAGCGGGTCCCCGAACCGCACAGCCGCTGTGACATATATTGACAGGGACAGGGACCAGGCGGTCAGGGGCAGCGGGTCCCCGAACCGCACCGCCGCTGTGACATATACAGACAGGGACAGGGACCAGGCGGTCAGGGGCAGCGGGTCCCCGAACCGCACAGCCGCTGTGACATATACAGACAGGGACAGGGACCAGGCGGTCAGGGGCAGCGGGTCCCCGAACCGCACAGCCGCTGTGACATATACAGACAGGGACAGGGACCAGGCGGTCAGGGGCAGCGGGTCACCGAACCGCACAGCCGCTGTGACATATACAGACAGGGACAGGGACCAGGCGGTCAGGAAAGAGACAGGGAACGGCACAGCCGCTGTAACATGGACAGAGGTTCCGTTTATAGTGTCATAACAGTAACAGCATTCGGGGCGATTGACCGATTAGAGCAAAACAAAGTTATGGTTGAGATAGGCGGTGTGATAAAACAGACAAGATACGATGCTCGACATCGTTTAGGGGTAAAACAAATGAATCATAAACAAAAATACGTGGATCACAGCTTAGTTGAGAGTACAAGAGCTAATTATGTAAACTGTTAAATAAACAAAACATATCGAAGGTCTCAAAATGACTTGACTCCGAAATGTCAGAATATGAACGAAATAGTAAAACTGCTACCGAGGTCCTATCTGAATGACAACATTCAATCGAGAGAAAAAAACATACCTACGAGTAAACAATTATGAATGTTTGCCTGTACCCGAGAACAGCACTGAAATAAAGATTGCATGCTACGCTGTCTTCAGCCACCACAAGGCAATGTGATGGACTGCCAGGGGTCATGTGCCGGTCCGCTGAGCGCGCCAGGCCTCTGGAGGCGCGGCTGGCACCACCAGGCGGCAGCGGAGCGCCAGGCTCGCGCCACACAGCCCGGGCCCAACTGCTAATGGCCCGGTCTAATGGTATTACCAGCGTCCACCTGGTGCCGCCCGACCCAGCGCCTAAACGTCACTGAATGTCTTCGCCGAACGTCCTCAATCTGCTGGCTCCTCTGCCCGTCCTCCTTCTACCATCTAGTTCTCGTTCTGCCGTCCTCACTGAACGCCCTCGCTCTGCTGTCCTCACTGAACGCCCTCACCCGCCATCGTCAATCTGCTGGCTTCCCGGACCGTGCTTCTTCTTCAATCTAGCCATCGCTCTACGGTCCTCGATATACGAGGACCATAGAGCCGCTCGTACGCCGCTCGTACTGTCCTCACTGACCGTATTAACATCTTGAGCAGATCCTAGCTACTCCTCAGACAGATCCACGTTTAACACATTGACCGTTTTATTTAGACCCCACTCGCTTTGTCTCTGCTGACCGGCTAATAACCGCCGCGTGTCCGCCACCCAAGTGCCGCAATACCCGTCTCCAGCCCGGCCGAGCGGCGTCTCCGGCGCTTAGAGGGCCTCATCAGATTGTCGGCGCGGCAGGAGTGCCCTCGAGACACGCCCCGTCGCCCCGCGGCCGGAGACAGGTGCCGGCGCAGAGTCCTCCTCCCACGGACCCGGAGGTGCACTCACGACTCCGCCGCGGCACCGTCTCCGGATATGCCGCCCGTCGACTGACGAACGACGCACGAAGGCTCACTTAGCCAGAGGAGCACCGGTCCCAGAGGAGATGGCTCTGCCGACTCTCAGTTATGTAATCTGAGGCGGAAAAGACCTTGGGCCGGTCTGGGTGAGTTACAGTCACCCGAACTAGCCAATGAGCGAGCGGCATCAAATACGGGACTAGATAGTGGACACTGGACAGACTGCGGTCTCCAAGCTACCCAATGACAAGAGCAGCGGAAAAATTAACGCGTCAGGCAGAATTGCATCCACAAATGCATCTACAAATACCAGCATCCCCAATTCTTTATTATAAATTTAGTCAGAACCATTTGATTGGAAGGATTTAAAAAAGGAAAGAGCCTCCGCTAAGCGAAGCTTGTTGCGTTGAACCTGCCATCTACCCTCCGATCGCACAATTACGATTATATGTTAGAATTTAGAGTCCAAAGTTTAACGTGCACACATAGCCGCGCACGGCCGATGCCCTCACTGACTTCGCCTGGTTACGGCCTGCCACCAACCGCAACCATACCTGTCAGGAGGCCCATAAATGTCAAGCGCCCGTCGAACCCTGACTGTTATAACCGGGAACGCGTGCTCTCACCACGCGGAGTCCAACGCTCTACCGACTGCGTCACGGAGCACCACGGGACCGGCAATGTCCCAACACAGAGCCCTTGCATAGTATGTAAACATCAAACCTCAGTGACGTAGTTACAGTCTCGTGAGCCCTTTTCAGGTTTCACATATGCATAGCCTTTCGCTCTTACAAGCTGACACTGAAACATTTGAGCTATGATGAATGACCTTTCAAGTTTCAACATTTGCCTGTAACGCTGCTGTCATTGCAGCACTAGTCTCGCGACGTGCATTTCTGAACCTGTTTCATCATTTATATTGCGACAAGATTCAGAATCTCCCAGTGTCCATGTCAGAGATACAATCCCCGCCAGCCCACCAGCTGCTCGCCGCTGTCTCGCCGCTCTTCCGCCCCGTGGCGGATGGAGCGCACTCCGTCCGCCCTGGGAACCGCCGGTCCGGTCCGACTGAGCGGTCCGACCAGCTCCACCGCAGCGCGCCCGTCACCCTCCCTCCCAAACCCCGTCGTATAGAGCGGACCGACCAGCTCCACCGCAGCGCGCCCGTCACCCTCCCTCCCAAACCCCGTCGTATAGAGCGGACCGACCAGCCCCACCGCAGCGCGCCCGTCACCCTCCCTCCCAAACCCCGTCGTATAGAGCGGACCGACCAGCCCCACCGCAGCGCGCCCGTCACCCTCCCTCCCAAACCCCGTCGTATAGAGCGGACCGACCAGCCCCACCGCAGCGCGCCCGTCACCATCCCTCCCGAACCCCGCCGCACTGAGAGTGGTCCGCGCCACCGCCGGCCTGGAGACCCCGGTACAGCTCACAGACGCCCACACGGGATCGGGGCCCCTCCGGCCGCTGTACTGGCCAGCAACTCAGCGGGGCGCCGCCGCGGATCAGCGGAGTGGATCGAACGGCGCGGATCCGGACAGCTGAAACAATCAATCAGTGTGGGTGCTGCTCAAATCCGGAGTGAAGCACGTACCGGTTTCGGATGCCCTGATATATCGGTTGAGAGGTAGTCATTTCGTGCGCTTTGTCCATGAGATTAGTTGGGTAAATTTTCGAAGGCGCCAGCTGTCCATGTTCGGTGCCATCGCTCTTCTGTTGAGTGATAAAGCAGGCGTAATTCAAGTGAATGGAACATAATAACATTCATCGACAAGGAAACCGCCCCAGAGAACAGAAATACGCTATTCCTTCTCAACACGCAGGCAAACCGAAATAGGAATCAGTTATGCAGCTCTCGTGGTCCATACGTCACGACTCCGGGGGCAGGGCCACGGGCAGGGCGGCGGCTGCCTCGCGGCCCTCCCAGTACTCATGGTGCGAGGGAAAGACGTCTGTCAGCGCCGAGGGCAAAGCGGCAGGCGCCCCGCGACTTCACGGGTACTCGGTACTCCCTGTGGGTACTCGGTAGTCGGTACTCACAGTGGGTATTCGGCACTCTCTGTGGGTACTCGGCACTCTCAGTGGGTACTCGGCACTCTCTGTGGGTACTCGGTACTCTCTGTAGGTACTCGGTAGTCTTTGTGGGTACTCGGCACTCTCCGTGGGTACATGGTACTCACAGTGGCAGGCCAGCGAGTGGTAGACGTCGGCCAGCGCCGCTGGCAGCGCGGCGGCCGCACCGCGACTCTCAGTCAGCTGGTCGGCCAGCTGGGTCAGCACGGCGGCGGCCCGCTGCGCCGTCCACTCCCGCTCGGCCCGCTCACACAGACAGGCGGGCGCGGCCCGGAGCGACAGCAGCGCCGCCTCGTGGCACGACGGTGCCGCCACCTGCCCACACAGGGACCGACGCTGAACAGCGCCGCAGACGTGGACTGAGGCGCCTGCATAGTTCAGTGTCAAACAGCCGGGCACTGCGGCAGGATATTGACGACTGCTTGTTTAAAGGTAGTGTGCCAGCTTTCTTGGACCGTATGGAGTTAATGGCCCAGATAAGGAGAACCGGATTTTTAGAACTTATCCATACCTTCAAAACTCATGGAAACGTCTTAAATTCTTCAAATTTTGAGTACCCCAGTGCGAAATTCGCCCCGACGGGTTGTCGGTCGTACCCCAACCACATTTCACACCACTATGAACAATAAATGCACACACTGAAATCGCTATTACCGATATGCTCATCCAATCAAGTTTCGATAAACCCGTTCATCATCAGCTCCTGCGGTTTCGAACACGCCTGTTAGGTGGTGCGGTAGACCACGCCCAAAGCCAGGGCCCCGGTAACGTGAGGTAGCCGAGTCAGGGCAGCGTGCGCTGACCCAAGCCGGAGCCGCGCGTCCTCCCGGTGTCATGTGATAGCCCGGGGCTGCCCGCGGGGATGCGGTAGACCGCGCCCAAAGCTGCGGCCCCGGCTTGGGTCAGCGCACGCTGCCCCGACTCGGCTACCTCACGTTACCGGGGCCCTGGCTTTGGGCGCGGCTTCTGCTCATACTTTGTGGTGCGGTGGTGGTGCGTCGGGCTGCGCGCTCTGACTTCGGCCAAGAAAAATGCGTCAGCTGATCATTGTCATTTCTGCCACTTGCGTGTGGTGAAATGGGGTCATAACTTATAAGACGGCTTTTTCATATCAATTATTTTACATAAAATCATATTTCAAACCATAAATAATCTTCGACAGCCAAATAAAAGAAACAATACCAATACGGGCTTACAGTTTAAGGCTCGACATTGTGTTGTCTACGATTAGACAGCTGATAACTCATTCCCGTACGTCGTATGGTCGTAACACTATAATGACCTTTGCCTATTGTCACAAGTGCGCCGCATTCGCGATTGTTGCCCGACGCCTGTTTGCAGGTGAGCCCACTACAGTTGTTATACATATCTAAAAACCGATAAACTTTTAGGCGAAAAAGGCACTATTCCAGGCCCATTTTTGATTTTTTTTGCGATATTAGGTAAAAACAGAAGCTTCTTATCCTAGGAAAAATAAAATGGGAAATCTTTCAAAGGTGGCACACTACCTTTAACCTTCGCCCCAGTGGGGGGGGGGGGCATATGTTACCACCCTGTCGCGTTTTTCGCGTGTAAATAAAAAAGCGCGGCGCGTAGCGCCGCGCCGCTTGGGGTAGCTTTTTGTACATCAATTTTGGAAAATGTGTGAAATTTTTGACCCCAGGTCATGTCAGGTCAGGTCACCAGGTCAAGTTAACTGACCAAGCCTAAAAAAAAGTTTGCAATCATGTCCAGCCTGCAGTGTTTGTCAGAAAGGTTTCAAACTTGGTGGATTGCATGATGTTATGGGCGCCTACAATTTGTATATCTCGGATTTTTCATATCCGTGACCTAAGGTCAGGTCAGTGGCGTGACCTTACCATTATAAGGCAATGGAGAAAAATGAAAATGCCTCTAGATCCGTGTGTACGCATGGGAACAGTCCAAATATTTCAGAATCACAATGATTTAGTCCCCTCGTGATGACCAAGGTGTCATTTTTGCTGGTAGCCTCTAGACAGGTCATCTGAGGTCACTTGAGGCTACAAACAGTTTTTTGCCAATAACTCGCGATTGGAAAGAGATAGAACGCTGGAGATGGTCTCATTGTGTTTGTCTTGTTGAGACGCATCGACTGATATGCAACATGACCTTTTCCGGTCAGGTCATGACCTTGACCTGAGGTCAAATTTTCAAGTTGACCTTTCAAGGTCAAATTATAGTTCATTCGACGCGTCTCGGCGAGGGGAACACGATTCTGGCAATAGAAATGCCGTGGCTTTTTTTAGTCAAAAGTTATTGTCGAAAAACACTTTTCGTAAAAACAGCTATTTTTGGAGTTTTTTCCCTCTGGAGGCTAAACCGTTGACCTGAGGTCAATATTGATCAGGACCTTTTCAAAAGAAGAGCTCAAAAGCTATCGTTTGCTCTTCCATGCGTTTTTCTAGCTACCATAGTTCCTGAGATAGCGGCATGTTTTCTGAAAAATATAATGACAATTGGCAAATTTTGACCTTTGATGACCTCTGGTGACCCCAATATTGCTCAAAGGTGAAAAATGACCGAAATACTTTCAAACGTACGCATTGAGAGCCATCGACTGCTTTTTACCGCGTCTTTCTATCCCTCTTAGTTTTTGAGTTAGAGGTGGGTGGTAACATATGCCCCCCCCCCCCCCCACTAGGGCGAAGTTGGCTGAGACCGCCACTGGGGCGCGGGTTAATTTTATTGGATACTCGATACAGAACGCTGCTAAATAAATAATAAAACGAATAAAACACAAGTTAGAAATTCAGAAGGCTTGGGAACTGGAATGTTTAAACAGCGTTATTGGAAACTTGTTCTGCAAAGGAAACATAGCCGTCAGAAGCCAATAACAATATGCAGGAGCTGGCTGTCGGAAATAACTTACCTCGGAGTCGTTAAGTTCGGTAAGCTGGTCCAGCACAAAGCCCAATCTGCCGGCAGCGACATTTACCATTCACCAGTCACCATATCGCCAGCGGCTGGCAGTTACATTACCCGTGTCCGGGGCCGCGCTTTACGCCGGGACAGAATTTCCACAAAGCCGCTGCAAAGCCGGCCGTTCTTTTATTGAAATGACATTGCCATCAGCCGTATACATTTGGTTGGCCGACACAAATGTCATGAAGGCGGAACGTTCATGGGGCGACCGTTCGTTCCGGCTGCACACAAAGTCGCCGAAGGGCGGTGTAGTGTCGCCCCGCCGCCAGTCAATACACAGAAACGGCAGGGGACATCGGTACAGGCTGCGATATATGGCGGATTTACACACGCGAAATGAACTGCTCAAAGCGAACATGGCACACGGCCGTCCCATAAATTCACAGGTGATTGTGATTTTATCCCCGGTCCGGAAAACACCGGCGCCAAACTGCGAATGGCACCTCGCCGAACACGTACGGATAGACGGGACGGTGTGAGCGGGTCCCGGGTCGTGGGCGACGCGAGGTGACCGGGTCTGGGTCCCCGGCGCGACACTGCCGATAGGCGGCCACCGTCTGATCGGCTGGACTAGCGGGTACGGCAGCGTCAGCCCAACCAACCTACTCAGCACTCAGTCTATAGCGACCCGACCACGTCTGACTCCTGCAGTGACCCCTGACCTCTGACCCCTGCACTGGACCGGCGGTGACCCCTGACGACTGACCTCTGTTCTAACCCCAGCAGTGACACCCCTGGCGACTGACCTCTGTTCGAACCCCAGCAGTGATACCCCTGACGACTGACCTCTGTACCGCCGCCGGGTGCGCGGCGAGCAGCCTGGCCTGCCGGCGCGCCAGCCGCAGCGGCAGCGGCGGGCTGAGGTCGGTGGACCGCAGCCGTTCCGAGCCGCCCGTGGCGCCGGCGTCTGCGGGCACAGACCGAACACACTCGCTGATACGCACGCTGAACAGTGAACAATGAGTGAGAGACGTGACGGGGATGACACCAGCTGAAACCGTCCAGAAGGAGTCAGCTGATGGATCACCGACGGGACCAAGTGGGGACACCCACCTTTCAAAATAATGTCTCCCAGGCTAATCTTCACGCTTCAAGGACCAAAGGGTGGTAGTGGCGGGCACCCACCCTCGAGAATGTTCTCCAGGTTGATTCTCTCGCTGACTGCGTGCTGGTCAAACAGCAGGACGACGTCGCCGGAGCAGGCCGCTATGAACTTGTTATCCAGTTGTTTGAGCACCTGCCGAAGCGAATTAGACACGGGATCAACAAGAAGCTTACAACTTACAACTTACAGCCCTCCCCCAAAAAGACCGGATTCGTACAAGGTTCGGCAAAGATATCACGGTAGTGATTGGCTCAACACAGCGCACGCCACCCCCGCCCGCCCTCGTGCTCCGTCCCCCCTCCATCACTCACGCGGACCGTCTGCAGCGTCTCTTTGGTGACGTCACAGGCCTGCGGGCGCCAGGCGGCCGACAGACCCGTCCTCAGCGACACCACCGGACGCTCGAACTCGCCGCCAGAGGGAAAGAAAAGGAAAACCGTGAGGAGAAGGAGGGAAGAGGTGAGAGTCGGGCAGGGCGAATGTGTGTGCATAACTCTCAGGCGTCAAACTACTAGCGGCATCTATGGAGAAGATTGCAAACGCTCGGCCGCTATCCGTTACAGCATGCATCTCAGGCGTTTAACTGCTGGCGACATCTGTTGAGAGAACTGCGAACGCTCTGCTGCTATCCGGTACAGCATACCATTCCAGGCGCCAAACTACTAGCGACATCTATCGAGAGGACTACGAACGCTAAGCTGCCATCCGGTACAGCATATCATCCAGGCGTCAGACTACTAGCGACATCTGTTGAGAGAACTGCGAACGCTCGGCTGCTATCCGGTACAGCATATCATCCAGGCGTCAAACTACTAGCGACATCTGTTGAGAGAACTGCGAACGCTCGGCTGTTATCCGGTACAGCATACCATTCCAGGAGTCAAACTACTAGCGACATCTGTTGAGAGAACTGTGAACGCTCGGCAGCTATCCGGTACAGCATATCGTTCAGGCGTCAGACTGCTAGCGACATCTGTTGAGAGAACTGAGAACGCTTGACAGCTGTCCGGTATGTACAGCATACCTGTCAGGTATCGGCTACTGGCGATATCTACACGAGCAACCTACTAATGACTGAGGCACACTAGTGGTAACAGATGGGATTTGAACAGTGGCAAATGGAGTGCCGATATCATTTGAAATGGACCTCTCCTTATGCTCTGCAGCGTTGCAAGGGCGGAAAGCGTCTCATAGCGCATACGGTGATGTTTTGAAACATAGAAAACACAAGTCTAACGAATAGTGTTGTCTATTTCAAACAACCTGCGGTTACCTATAACGTCTAGCTGAAGTTTTGATGGCTTGAAACGTTATTTTGAGCACTGTTACGATTATGGTTGTGACAAGTATGAATGACAACATTATTATTGTTGCTTCATGCTTGCAATAATTACATAACGGAATTCCAAATGCAACCCCCTTTTGTGTTTTTGTCGTTCCACTGAAGAAATGAAAATATATCCTGGAATTAGTTATTAGTCTGCCCCTTTTCAGACGTGAGCAGAATGCTATTAATCATGTTTGTCACAATCAACGTCCAACTTGGTGCTGATCATAGCGAGGCGATCATTGCCAATGCCAATGCATTGGCAGCTGTGCGAATAAAGCAAAGCGAAACTTGCTCTAAATACAATTGAGTTACATTGTTTGTGCGGGCCACCCTGACTCACTGGTTAGTGCATCCAGTGTCCGCGCGGCCTGGTCGTTCGGCGGCGGCTGACGCTCGTCTCTGGGATCCGCCGCAGCCTCTGCGGCCGGGGCCGGCGGCGGGGGCGGGGGCGGGGGCGGCAGCCGGAGCCGCCCGCGCGGCAGGAACGGTGAGAAGCCGTGAGTGAGCACCAGCGGCCGCTGGGCTCCGGCCGCCCACGGATACCACGGGGGAGCGTCGTTCAGCATGAACACCAGCGGGCGCCGCGGCCGGGCGGCGCCTCCCCCGACCTCGGCGGCTCCACTGACCGCCGGAGCCCGGGCGGCGCCGTCTCCTCCGCCGTCACCTGCGGCTCCGCTGAAAGCAGACCGCCGGGCCGCTCCGCCGCCTTCCGCGGCTCCAGTGGCCGCCGGAGGCTCCAGACCCGTGTGACCCGCGGCCGAGTGGACAAACACCGAGCGTCCGGCCGAGTCGGTCGCCTGGGGCCGGGCTGGACTGGCGGCCTGTCTCGCTGTCACCGCTGACACGGCAGCGCTTGTGGCAGTGATTGCTGTCGCGGACGCTGCCTCTTCAGCTGCTGCTGCTGCGGAGGCGAAATAGGAAAAGAGGCGCCGTCTTGCAGTCAGCGGGCTGTTACCTTTAGACTTTGATGTCTTGTCGTCAGGGATGTAACCCGTAATCATCGGGGTAACTTCTTGAAAATTAGCGCCGCAACCCGCAGCGTTTTGGTTTTCTCCCGAAGCCGGCTCCACAGCTCGCTTGGGTGTGATAAAACACTTCTCATCGACGGTCACATTAACCAGAACCTGCGGCATATTGGGCCTCTCAGCTCCTCCCGCCGGTGGAGCTTCCTCGCCACTCGGGTCATGCGCTCCATCATCCTGGCGGTCGATGTCGGAGAGGTGCATCTCATCTGCCCACGGTAGGTGAGACGCGTCAGCGCCGATCGAGCCCAGCACCTGTCCCGGGAGGATCTCCTCGGAGTCCGACTGATCCGCCGGACGCCGGGCCGGCGAGGGAGCCGGTCGAACCTCCCCGGCCGTCAGGACTGGCGGCGACTCGGGGCCGTCTGACGCTGGTAGCAGAGCAGTGGAAAATGGCGTCAATTCCTCCCCGTCCGACAGCGGGGCGTGCAGGGGCACCGCGGAGTGTTGCAGAGGAGTCGAGTGGACCGGCAACGTCGCCACAGACATCGCCCCAGCTTCCGGCAGCATCACGGCGCACGGCGTCCCGTCAGCCAGCTTCCGCAGACTCTCCGGAAGGTCTCCCTCTGACTCGCCGACAGCGGCAGGAGTCGTCAAAGGACGCGGCGACAGGGCGGAGTCAGCCGCAACCTGACTCGGTAGGACTTCGCTGCACGACGAGCCAGCCGAGTCGCCGGCCGGATCGGACCGATCTCCGGCGGCATTCGCCCGATGGCAGGTAGGCTGTGGGATATTAGAGGCTTCAGCATTGATTGCGATCGGAACACTTGTTTTGAAGCAATCTGACGCCTCTTCGTGTCCCATTTGGTCGGTTATGGCAGTTTGTTTAGCGTGATCTCGAACAGCATCGTCACTGGCGACTGCAGGTGTAGAAAGTTCTCCAATAGCAGACAGCCCTTGACAGCCTCCGGCCTGAGAGGCGCAAGAAAACTCAAACGAAGCCACGCCACTGGAAGAATATCGTTCAGCCGGACACAAGTTTGTCTCCTGTGTGATCACGGTCTCAGCAGCCAAGCGTTCCTCAGTAGGTGCAGTCGCCTCATATACCGTTCCCGCCAACTCTCTGGTGCCATCGGGGCTTACACGAATGTAGAGTCCCTGCGACAGCCTTACACGCCGACGCGGTCGCACTGTTCGCACAGTATCCACACCTACTCTGGCGAGTGGCGTACAGGGGGACATTTCAGTTCGGTGGGCTGCAGAGGCTGCCGCAGGACCCGAGGAGACACCCTGATTAGTCACGGGCTGTGCCGTCCTCACGCCAGACATTGATGAGGGCTGGGCAGATGTGATACATACACTGGAGTCTGAGACAGCGACTTGACAGATCTCAGTCCGGCTCTTGCTCGGTGGTTGGGATTGGTCGTCTGCGTCCATGCTTTCTGTTTCGTGGTGATTTGAATTCACTGTGTGCTGGTGAGCTTCATCGCTATCTTCGTGTTCTTCGTAGCTCTTCTGGAGTAGCACATCATATGAAATGATACTGTCTTCCTCTGTTTTGGAGTTCCCTTGCGATTCTGACATATTACTTACGTCCTGTTCAGCACTACTGTGCGTCTCAGAACTATCTTCCTCACTCATCTCATGGACACAGTGTATCTCAGATTCAGGATCAGCGCTGTCTACAGCATCACATCTCTCACCATTGTTGTGCCCCTGGGCACCAGACGTCTGAAAGCTCTTTTTTCCACTTTGCTCTATGTTGTCCTGTCCGTCACAGACACCATCCTCACTCACTTCTCCACCTTCCTCCACCACTGCACGCTCCCTGTTGCTGCTCCACACCACGAACGGCTGCGTGGCGGCAGACGGAGCCACCGACCTCCCCGCAGGCACCGCATCGCCACTCTTACTGCCTGCAGTTCTTGTGGAGCTCCCGGTATGGTCAGATATTTCTCCGACAATATGATCAGCTTTGGCAGAAGGAACAGAGGCTTCAGCGACATGACCAGTCGCTGCCGAGGCGCTGGCGCCCTGAGCTGGCGAGCCATCCGGCGAAGCACACAATACTGGCTGGAGAGTGAAGCTGGTCTCTGGAGGCGCAGGCGTCACCCCGAATCCATCATCGATCATGGCCAGCCTTCCGATCCGCGGCGAGGTCTCCTGCGGACGAAGTCCGTCTCTCGGCCCGGTACAGAGGCGTACCTCCATTTCGTCACGTGGGTGCCCGACACCGCTGCAGAGGGCAGAGGTGGGACGGTGCGCGCTCCCTGCGGTCCATAGAGACACCTTGTCGCACTGAGCGCCTGGGTCCTGGTCCAGGGGAGCCATGAAGCGAACGTTTGCCCCCTCACTGGGAGCGAGTATACCAGCGGAAAGCAGGGACGAGAACCGAGCAAAGGCGGAGGTCGTCTGCTCGGAAAAGAGCCGTGGGAAGCTGAACCCAGGGTCATGGCTCGACTGAAGACAAGGAAAGTCCGATGGCAACGAGGTCGTTAGACGGACCGTCGGGACGGCGTGGCTGACACTATCGCGAGCAGCCTGCGACGGTCCGCTGTACGGACGAAGGGTGAAGCTTTCCTCCAAGGACGGCATCAGCACGAAACTCTCTTCTCTCGCAGTTGCGTGCTGAGTGGACTTGGAAGAATACAGAGTCACGGGCGCCAGGGAAAACTCTCCAGCCTTGCACATTTCTTCACCGTCAGTGATGACTGGATGAATACTGAAACTACTCTCATTCGGAAGGAAGATTACACCTCCGCTATGAACGGGAGTAAAAGCCAGAATGTTTGTGGCGCATCTTCCACTGTCCGCAGCAATGACAGAGCTCATAGGCGCATAGGTTTGTCGAAGTGGTAACGGAGTGCTGGTTGCTCTGGACGGCACGTCCGACGTGACCATGACAGGGACGTCCCTTCTGGACCGCGCCGCTTCGTAGTGGCTCTCTGAAACGGAATGATGAGACGGAGCCGCTGGGCATCCTCTCCGATCGGCGACACCCGACTGTGCCGAGGGCAGCAGGAACTCGTTTTCACTGGCAGGTAATCGCTGAGCCATGCCACGTTGAACGTTGTTCGATTCATTATGCTGATCACCGTTGTCGCCCCGTTGAGCATTGCTGGTGATCTGTTGGGGATTGTGAGCGTATTTCTCAGCCTCAACACGAGCAAGATGCGAAGCCTGGACGGTCGCGTGACTCTTCAATTGTGTTTTGCTATCAACTTCTCCCGTTATGCTTTCGCACAATCTCACTCCTGTTGGAGAAGCTCTTGAATTCGCAGCTCTCCTAGTTCCGAACAGCTCCGCCAAAGGTCGTCTGCCTCCCCAAGGGACGGTGGTACCCGTCGGCTCCCCAGCGCACTCTGTCCCAGAGTCAGACAAACGAGGTCGTTTGAGTGGGGGTGGAGAATGCGGACGGGAAAGGCGCCCATCCATAGGAGTTTGAGCCACATCAGTAGACTGGATAGGAGCCCTGTCAGTAGCCTTGGCAGATTCGGCCTGCAGCACAGTTTGCCGAAACAACTCCAGGCTGCCGCGGTACACCCTGGCCATCGTCCCCGAGGGTTCGCGGTAGCCGGCATCGTTCAGATTGTTTGACCGCTGTGGGGACGTTGCGTGCTCGTTAGCATGACTGTGGTTCCCGGTAAGCGGAGAGACTGTCTTGCCTTGTTCGACATCTGAATATTTTCTATTTCCTGACGTTTTTCTGTTAGTGCTCCCGTGCTCGCACACCGATCCACTCAGTGCAGATGCCCGCCGTCCCCTTGTTGTTTTCTCTCGCAGATTCCAAGACACTGTCGACTCATCCCGCCCAGAAACCGAACGTTGCTGGGCGTCTGCTCGTAGGCTTCGATCGCGTTTCATTTTCACTGATTCCACACTTCTCTCTGTTCCACGGGACGTACTTCGTGTCTTCTCGAGGTGTTTGCGCCCGCCACAGTCCCCTCCAGCTCCGGACTCTTTATCAGTATCTGCACGGTCTGGTCGACCGTTCTCTCGATCGCCCGAGTGATGTTCCGTTGGCTCCATGTCGCTGACTTTGTCCAACACACTGCCGCCCGGCACTGTCTCTGACTCAGGGACGGAGACGTCCAGCGGAGGCTCCAGTCTGCCGGGACGAGCCACCTTCTTACCTCGCCGCGCCTCAGCCCTGTCCAACAAGTAGTTACACGCGGGTACGGCGGCAGCGGCGGCGGTGCCGACAGGCTCGTTCCCCGTCTCGGCACCGTCTCCCTGTAGCCGCGCCGCTCCGTCGGCCACTCCGGCCATCACAGCCCGCTCCACAGCGGTCAGCACGGGCTGCCAGTGGGCGAACTCGACCCTATCCTCGTCCGGGTCGTACACCACCGAGTACCGGCCGGCCGGACAGCGCAGCAGCAGCAGGAACCCCGGCCGGCCGGCCTCCGGCTGCGCGCCCGCCAGCAGCCGCGCCGCCAGCCGGTGCACCCGCCCTCGGCCCACCGGGCGGCCGTTGACGAACACAAACTGAGGGCCGCCCGGCGCCGTGGTGAAGCCCGACACGCGGACCTTGCCGCGGCGCGCCGCCAGCGGCCGCGCCTGCCGCTCCGTCAGCGGCTCGATCACGTCGCTGTACCGCTCCAGGACCGAGCTCCTCCTGGCAGCGTCCATCAGCAGCCTCCCCGTGGCGTCATCGCGGAGGCTGAATGACACGTCCGGGCGCGGCAGTGCGAGCGTCTCCAGCACGCGGCAGACGCTCTCCAGCTCGGCCTGTCGGCGGCAGGCGCGCCGGCCGGCCAGCAGGCCCCGCACGGTGACCGTGGTGCCGGCGCTGGGCCGCTGCTGCGACACCGGGCTGGGCGCCGCGCCGGTCCCCTGCCGACCTGCCGCCTCCCCCCGCCCCGAGTCACCCGGGCTGCTCCGGCCTTCACCGCCGCTGCTGACCGGTCCACCCCTCCTCGAACGGGAGGACGTCACTAGGCGGCGGCGCCAGGTCTGCTCCGAGCCCCGACGGCGAGACGTGATCTCCAGGCGGCGACACACGCGCGCGATACTGGCCAGGCTCTCGCCGCGGTAACCGAACGGTTTCACCGAGGATCGACATGGCGTGTCGCCGTGGGTCGTCACATACCTGAAACGAAACCGCCCCAGGAAGGGAGCCTGTCGTTTGAAGGAAACAGCCGGGTCGGCTGAGACTTGAGAGTATGCGGGTAACGATCCACGATTCACGGTGACAATAGGTTAAGTTTACCGATAAATATTGTTGCGAGTATACCAGTACCTTCTTTTAGGTCATATTTGTCACGTGGTTCAGCAGAGAGGATCGAAAGACAAAGTTGACGATTAGATTGAGATGTTCAAAACAGCATACTTTAGCCCCTCCCCCTCCCGAGCGGAACCCGTGCGCACTGACCTGTCACCGACGCGTGCCATCAGCTCGGGCGTCATGCCGGTGCCGTTGTCGACCACCTGCACCTCCAGCTGCGGCAGGTTGACGCGCACGGCCACGCAGCTCGCGCTGGCGTCCAGCGTGTTACGCACCTGACAGACGGCACCGCACAGCGGAGCGGGTGGGCGAACACGCTGCGTCAGATCATGTTCAGACAAATAGGAAATCCGGCCAATTCATCAAACATACAGCAGCTGTCTCCCCCGGGGCCAGGACTACTCACCAGCTCTTTGACGCACTGAGCAGCCGAGGTGATGTTGGCGCCGCTGCGGATCTCCTCCTGAACGGTGTCCGGCAGGGCGACCACCGGCTGCCGGGGCCCGGCGAGCTCGCGACTTCCGGACGCCGACATCGGCTCGAGAAGGGACCGTCGCCAGGAGGAATCGAACAGTCTGTTGATTCTTCCAACTGAAACTAGGAAAAAGAATCACTCACAAATCGCTCATCTGGTACAGCCGTGACGTAACGGCCAAAATCGGTCCGAAAGCAACATGCAGACCCCGATTCTCAAAGGGGTAGGTATGATATAATCATACCGGTTTACTTATACATATCGGTTTCAATATGAATAACGCTGATCGAACGGAAAACAAAACAACAAACGATTTTTATTCATTGTAATTTTGATTTCGACTGACCCATTTCAACGCGCTGGCTCGATCGGCCTTGGGCTCCATCATCGATGCAAGGCCGGGTGCCGGGTTGATCAGCCATCTGAGAGCGCACGGGCAAAAAAATAGAAAACAAGTTTTTCAAAGCAATATCAATATTCTCTCCACTTGCCTCAGGTGAAATGAAGACAGTAAATTAACATATAAGCATAATAGCTGCTAGAATGTAGGTACCGTAGGTACCTATATTATATATAGCTACAGCAGATCCAGTCCGACTCTTGGTCCGTGTAGGCGGTGTACTACACTATTGCGTTTTGAAAATTGCGCTCATTATAACGCTAAAAATGTTAGCATTTTTCTTATACTATCGAAGAAGAATAGACTCGATGGTTTGTGCAGCACCCTAACACCCAAAATAATGGCTAATACCACAGCCCCGATGGCCGATAGAAATATATCAAAAGCTCAAGCAAAAGCTATAGAAGGCGGGTTTGAGCATACTGATGTATCGCGTTATTATTTGTTTCAGCTGTTCCACACAATACATACCAGAATTGGCGCAATTAATTCATTTAATATGTTCATTTACAAGTGTTTGCTGCTCACAGAAGGTTATCTCGGGTGAAGCTTGAATTTCATTAGTGAACTTCTAGCTGACGAGAGTCGCTAAAAAATTAGAACACCTTTTGCTTATTTACTCCAAATTTACTTCCTTACGAATACGTCGGTAAAACTCAGGATTGGTAACAGTTCTAAATTGGAGACGCATTTTTGGTACCTATGTATCCTTAAATTTCCTACGATTAGCTATTAATTTTGACTTTGAATGGAAAGATTGCTAAGAATTGATCATCGCTTTTTCGGGATAATTCAGAATTACCAGTGCTTCTAGGTATTTGTTTTTTTTTTTGTGTCCCATCGTTTTGTACATGAAAAGTTCGGTAAAGTTCGGTTACCCCTGCGGCTGCTGAGCCTCTGCTCCACCCGCCGGCTGCTGGGGCGGGCCAACTAGACTCTACCTCTCCCACAATATCATCGCAGAGGCAAACGCAGTGCGAAGAGATAGAGCCACGAAACATTGCCTACACATTCCTGAATTGGTAGCTGAGGTAGTGTCTAAATTTGGTGTCAATCCCATTTGAAATGACTTCACACTGATGTCAGAAGTCCAGTTATAGATTTGAGTTTCTTAGTTTCCTCGGCTCACAATATATCTGACATATAGGACTGAATATATGGGACGGTCACAATTTTTTTCTTCTGATTCGTCTCACATTCACCTCAACTGAAAGGCTATGACATGTTTTGATGCTACCAACTGAGCAAGGCCTGTCCTGTAGCTCAGTTGGTGGAGAGTTTGACTTTCATTAGCAGGGGCACGGGTTCGAGTTATTCCTGTGCTCTTTATTTAAGACTCCTGATGGGGATGGTTTGCGGTTGGTGGGAGCAGCCACAGCCAGTTGAGTGGGACAAGCCATGTGTATCTTTGAGGGGCTCATTAAAATTAGGCATCTAAATTATCCTGTTAATGGGAATTGCAAGGTTGGATAGTTAGGGTTGCTGGGTTAGTGTTTTTTTCTTCCTTTTCTTTCTATTTTTCTTTTTTTTCTTTTTCTTTTTCTTCTTTTTTCTTTCTCTATTCTTTTTCTTTTTGTATCTGCCTTTTCTTTCCTATGCAACAAGCTTTGCAAGAATTGACATTTGTAGGAACAAGAGTGGCTGCTCACTGCTGGCTGAGAGATTGGGTAGGCAGCTAGTTACCTTACCTTCTTTCCCATATGCACTCTTTTTCTTTCAATTAATGCTATGTTTTCCAATAGTGATTGTTAGCAGATGTCAGGGAAAGTTGTGGAAATGAATAACCAAGAGCATTTTTGCCTTTTTTTGCAATGTGATCTTTAGTTCTTCACCCAAGTCAATGATAATGCTTGAAATGGCCCATTTCTATTTGTCATCCCCTCATAAGATAATTCAGGTCACTTTGATCATTGATATATTTAAGGCACACCTTGTGTCCTGTGCTCTTTACTCATCTCACAAATATGTGTTTCTATGAGAAGCTTCACTGGCTTTGATGCCATATTGTAAGACTGTAAGGTCCATCCAATTCCTAGTAACAGTAAGTAAATGAATAATTCCTTTCATTAAATTTTCCTAGCATGCATCTACAAGGGTAGGTTAGGTTCATGCTGCTTCATCAACCTTACACTTGTTAATGCTCCCCAATTTAGACTGAAGCATGAAGTTGCATCAGTTGGATCAAAATGAAACAATTTTTGATGCGTTTGTATCAAGACTGGGTCAATTTACATGTTCATGAAAGTTTCTGTAAAACTTTTAGTTTTTTTTTCAGCGATTTTAGACTTTTTAGCTGAAAAGTTCAGAGCAGTGTGTGCCAGACTCGAAAGTAGATTTATTTTGCTTTGATTCTGCTACTCTGCTACAAATGGCAGATAGGTGGTCAGCATATTGTTCTCCACCACCGCATTCTCCGTGAGCCGTAGCAGTGGGGGAAGCGCGGGTCTCGCACCCTTACGGCGGCGCGGCCCCGCTCAGCGCCGCAGTCCCGACCGCAGGATTCACCGCCGTACCGGCGTATTTCACGAATCCAACGATGAGCAATGATGAGTCATGATGAGTCATGAGCTACCTACTGAGCTATAAACGAACGCGGAAGGGAAAGTACAACCCACGACGTCATAAGCACTGACGGGCCTATGCATTATACTGGCAAGTGGAAGTTTGTGAAGTTTTGGGTAGGTACCTATGTAGAGGTCTGCTTTTTTTGGGGGGGGGGAAATGTGTCTGAGGTGGCGGTAGTGGTTCCCAAATATCAATTTACTGTTCCGAAAAAAGTGATCCGCACGTTTCTTATTTAAAACCCAATTCGCCTTCAGAGGGTTAAATAATGAGGATATTATAAAAGTAATTTTCATGATTCACGTCGTTTCCCTTTCGCAGTGCCGAAATGACACCTTGTTGTTATCAGATGAACGATTCTGCCCGGACTCATCAGCGCTGATCTCACGGCCCGCTGGCGCGATCTGTATAATCCTCCCCGGCTATCTTTATTGGACTCTCGGCCGTGACGTGCTCTCCAGTTCCCGTTTCTCGCCCGGTATCGTGTGCGATATGCACGCTTGGACAGGACCAGCGCGGTACGATAAGGTGCCACGATCTGGGCGAAGCTGAGTTGGCGTGATATTTTGTCACGTTCGCCTGTTTTTCATGATACGGACAGATCTATACCTATGCTGATAATCTACATTGTATGGAGCAAACAAACTCAACTCGAACAAACTCGGCGCGATTCCAGTCTTGTGATTCCATTGGCTGTTTTGGCATATAATTATACAGGCATTTTATACAGGCAAGGAACTGTGATGACAATGATCAACCGGCAGCGTCGATCCACACGACCTATTTTCGGTACCTACCATATGCCGTACATTTCACAAACATTACGATGTAAGAAAGCAAAGGTGTAAAACACACAGACACCCAATTTCCGTCCCAAGTAATTAAAAGAGCACCTGACTCGATATTTCATTGACCCCGGCCGGATCAGGTTATTGACCTACTTTCAACTGTGTGTTGAAATCTGAAGTCACAAGTCACAGGCACTCGCGGCCGTTTTCGCTCCAGAGTTGTTTCAGAGTGTGTAAATTCTCCGGTTGTGACCATGCTGCCCCGCCTGCGAGCGCTGCTGCCCATCGCGGTATGTGTGACGCTGGCTCTCATCCACGGCTGCTCCGCTGAGGACGGCGACGACGGTAAGCCACGCTCGGCCGCTCGGGAGGGAAATTCACTGATTTGTAATTCTCATTACAATGTGCATTTTTTTTCGTAAAGTACGTGCCAGTCATTCCATCTCATGTTAAGTTTTTGCTTTCATGTTTTCAGTGTCTTTATCATTCCTTTTCAAACTTTCCTCATTGTGTTTTTATAAGGCATATTTGTTCATTGCAGCGATTGCTGTTTGCGAACACAGAGCCATGTAACGCACAGGCTGTTACAAGTAGGCTGTGCTCTAGAGATTGTACCTCAGTTAGCGCTGTTTTGTGTTGTTTTTAATTGGTTAATCTTTTTTTCAGCCAAGTGTGCGGCCCAGTCCGGCAAGGACTGTCATGCGTGCCTTCAGTTTGCTCAGGTAAGGTTGTTGTTCATTCTCTTTAAATATTTGATTTTACAGTCTATTCTTATAGTGTTTCGATAACTTTGATGCAGATATGATGCACGTTTTAGATATTTATAAGACAGTCATTCATGCATGCGAGCGCAATAGATTTGCAGCTGAGGAACATAATTTTTTTTGCTAACTACAGTACCTATTCAGTAAGGCCCCTATTAAGGTCGCTGTGTAATTTTGCGGTAGTTGTTGATACGAGTATTAAGTATATGACTTGTGCACGTCTTAGTCTCGTCACTACCGAGCCCTGCATAGCTGGCACAGCACTGCAATGCATCGTTCGCCTGCATTTGATAGACACCAGCTACCACCCTCCTACCGCTGACCGAGAGCCCCCACCGGTGTACGGTCGGTACCTGTACCACCCCGTGCCGCCCGGCCCGCAGTGCTACTACTGTACATCGAGCAAGAAGTGCGCCTACAACCCCGTCAACAGCTTCCTGCCAAAGGCCAGCGACTGCTCCCTGGCGGACGTCCGCTGGGGCACCTGCTGGGGTAGGTAGACCGGTCACTGGGGCACCTGCTGGGGTAGGTAGACCGGTCACTGGTCCGTCCGCCGGGGCACCTGCTGGGGTAGGTAGACCGGTCACTGGGGCACCTGCTGGAGTAGGTAGACCGTCCGCTGGGGCACCTGCTGGGGTAGGTAGACTGGTCACTGGGGCACCTGCTGGGGTAGGTAGACCGGTCACTGGGGCACCTGCTGGGGTAGGTAGACCGGTCACTGGGGCACCTGCTGGGGTAGGTAGACCGGTCACTGGGGCACCTGCTGGGGTAGGTAGACCGGTCACTGGGGAATAGTCTACTGGGGTAGGTAGACCGGTCACTGGGGCACCTGCTGGGGTAGGTAGACCGGTCACTGGGGCACCTGCTGGGGTAGGTAGACCGGTCACTGGTCCGTCCGCTGGGGCACCTGCTGGAGTAGGTAGACCGTCCGCTGAGGCACCTACTGGGGTAGGTCACTGGACCGTCCGCTGGGGCACCTGCTGGGGTAGGTAGACCGGTCACTGGGGCACCTGCTGGGGTAGGTAGACCGTCCGCTGGGGCACCTGCTGGGGTAGGTAGACCGGTCACTGGGGCACCTGCTGGGGTAGGTAGACCGGTCACTGGGGCACCTGCTGGGGTAGGTAGACCGGTCACTGGGGCACCTGCTGGGGTAGGTAGACCGGTCACTGGGGCACCTGCTGGGGTAGTTAGACTGGTTACTGGGGAATGGTCTACTGGGGTAGGTAGACCGTCCGCTGGGGCACCTACTGGGGTAGGTAGACCGGTCACTGGGGCACCTGCTGGAGTAGGTAGACCGTCCGCTGAGGCACCTGCTGGGGTAGGTAGACCGGTCACTGGTCCGTCCGCTGGGGCACCTGCTGGAGTAGGTAGACCGTCCGCTGAGGCACCTGCTGGGGTAGGTAGACCGGTCACTGGACCGTCCGCTGGGGCACCTGCTGGGGTAGGTAGACCGGTCACTGGGGCACCTGCTGGGGTAGGTAGACCGTCCGCTGGGTCACCTGCTGGGGTAGGTAGACCGGTCACTGGGGCACCTGCTGGGGTAGGTAGACCGTCCGCTGGGGCACCTGCTGGGGTAGGTAGACCGGTCACTGGGGCACCTGCTGGGGTAGGTAGACCGGTCACTGGGGCACCTGCTGGGGTAGGTAGACCGGTCACTGGGGAATAGTCTACTGGGGTAGGTAGACCGGTCACTGGGGCACCTGCTGGGGTAGGTAGACCGGTCACTGGGGCACCTGCTGGGGTAGGTAGACCGGTCACTGGGGCACCTGCTGGGGTAGGTAGACCGGTCACTGGGGCACCTGCTGGGGTAGTTAGACTGGTTACTGGGGAATGGTCTACTGGGGTAGGTAGACCGTCCGCTGGGGCACCTACTGGGGTAGGTAGACCGGTCACTGGGGAATAGTCTACTGGGGTAGGTAGACCGGTCACTGGGGCACCTGCTGGGGTAGGTAGACCGGTCACTGGGGAATAGTCTACTGGGGTAGGTAGACCGGTCACTGGGGCACCTGCTGGGGTAGGTAGACCGGTCACTGGGGCACCTGCTGGGGTAGGTAGACCGGTCACTGGTCCGTCCGCTGGGGCACCTGCTGGAGTAGGTAGACCGTCCGCTGAGGCACCTACTGGGGTAGGTCACTGGACCGTCCGCTGGGGCACCTGCTGAGGTAGGTAGACCGGTCACTGGGGCACCTGCTGGGGTAGGTAGACCGTCCGCTGGGGCACCTGCTGGGGTAGGTAGACCGGTCACTGGGGCACCTGCTGGGGTAGGTAGACCGGTCACTGGGGCACCTGCTGGGGTAGGTAGACCGGTCACTGGGGCACCTGCTGGGGTAGGTAGACCGGTCACTGGGGCACCTGCTGGGGTAGGTAGACCGGTCACTGGGGCACCTGCTGGGGTAGGTAGACCGGTCACTGGGGCACCTGCTGGGGTAGTTAGACTGGTTACTGGGGAATGGTCTACTGGGGTAGGTAGACCATCCGCTGGGGCACCTACTGGGGTAGGTAGACCGGTCACTGGGGCACCTGCTGGAGTAGGTAGACCGTCCGCTGAGGCACCTGCTGGGGTAGGTAGACCGGTCACTGGTCCGTCCGCTGGGGCACCTGCTGGAGTAGGTAGACCGTCCGCTGAGGCACCTACTGGGGTAGGTCACTGGACCGTCCGCTGGGGCACCTGCTGGGGTAGGTAGACCGGTCACTGGGGCACCTGCTGGGGTAGGTAGACCGTCTGCTGGGGCACCTGCTGGGGTAGGTAGACCGGTCACTGGGGCACCTGCTGGGGTAGGTAGACCGGTCACTGGGGCACCTGCTGGGGTAGGTAGACCGTCCGCTGGGGCACCTGCTGGGGTAGGTAGACCGTCCGCTGGGGCACCTGCTGGGGTAGGTAGACCGGTCACTGGTCCGTCCGCTGGGGCACCTGCTGGAGTAGGTAGACCGTCCGCTGAGGCACCTACTGGGGTAGGTCACTGGACCGTCCGCTGGGGCACCTGCTGGGGTAGGTAGACCGGTCACTGGGGCACCTGCTGGGGTAGGTAGACCGTCCGCTGGGGCACCTGCTGGGGTAGGTAGACCGGTCACTGGGGCACCTGCTGGGGTAGGTAGACCGGTCACTGGGGCACCTGCTGGGGTAGGTAGACCGGTCACTGGGGCACCTGCTGGGGTAGGTAGACCGGTCACTGGGGCACCTGCTGGGGTAGTTAGACTGGTTACTGGGGAATGGTCTACTGGGGTAGGTAGACCGTCCGCTGGGGCACCTACTGGGGTAGGTAGACCGGTCACTGGGGCACCTGCTGGAGTAGGTAGACCGTCCGCTGAGGCACCTGCTGGGGTATGTAGACCGGTCACTGGGGCACCTGCTGGGGTAGGTAGACTGGTCACTGGGGCACCTGCTGGGGTAGGTAGACCGGTCACTGGGGCACCTGCTGGGGTAGGTAGACCGGTCACTGGGGCACCTGCTGGGGTAGTTAGACTGGTTACTGGGGAATGGTCTACTGGGGTAGGTAGACCGTCCGCTGGGGCACCTACTGGGGTAGGTAGACCGGTCACTGGGGCACCTGCTGGAGTAGGTAGACCGTCCGCTGAGGCACCTGCTGGGGTAGTTAGACTGGTTACTGGGGAATGGTCTACTGGGGTAGGTAGACCGGTCACTGGGGCACCTGCTGGGGTAGGTAGACCGGTCACTGGGGCACCTGCTGGGGTAGGTAGACCAGTCACTGGGGCACCTGCTGGGGTAGGTAGACCGTCCGCTGGGGCACCTGCTGGGGTAGGTAGACCGGTCACTGGGGCACCTGCTGGGGTAGGTAGACCGGTCACTGGGGCACCTGCTGGGGTAGGTAGACCGGTCACTGGGGAATAGTCTACTGGGGTAGGTAGACCGGTCACTGAGGCACCTGCTGGAGTAGGTAGACCGTCCGCTGGGGCACCTGCTGGGGTAGGTAGACCGTCCGCTGGGGCACCTGCTGGGGTAGGTAGACCGGTCACTGGGGCACCTGCTGGGGTAGGTAGACCGTCCGCTGAGGCACCTGCTGGGGTAGTTAGACTGGTTACTGGGGAATGGTCTACTGGGGTAGGTAGACCGTCCGCTGGGGCACCTACTGGGGTAGGTAGACCGGTCACTGCGGCACCTGCTGGGGTAGGTAGACCGTCCGCTGAGGCACCTGCTGGGGTAGTTAGACTGGTTACTGGGGAATGGTCTACTGGGGTAGGTAGACCGTCCGCTGGGGCACCTGCTGGGGTAGGTCACTGGTCCGTCCGCTGGGGCACCTGCTGGGGTAGGTCACTGGACCGTCCGCCGGGGGCAGGATCTGCCCGCGCCGAGCCGCACCTGTGCGATACGTACTCCTTGACTGGTACCTACATTGCTCACCAAGTACCTAACCTAAATTAGTGAGCGGGTATATTGCACCGTTAATTTATGGTTTGATTATTTTTGAATTTTGCCTCAGTCTCAGTAGGTAAAAGTGCAGTTCCATACATTCATCACATTCATCACATTCATCATATATAAAGCCGTGAAGACTTCTTGTACTTGAGGTAGATCATGCCAGATTTGCGTTTTATCTTCCCCGAACCTAGCTATACGCCTGTAGCCGCAGTGTCCCGCTCACCCCAACTGTCTGTGACGCTGACCCTGCGTGTGCTCTCTACTGCAGTGAATTTCCTGGCGCTGATCATCAGCCTGGTGGTGATTGTGCTGGTGATCGCCCTCTCCATCGGCTGCTGGTGCCACTGCTGGTGCAAGCGCCGCCGCACGCGCAGGTGAGATGTGCCCACAGTGGTGCCGGGGCTGCAGCTGGTGCCAGTCGGATGCTGTTGGTGATCCGTAGGAGGTCCTGTTCACCTGCTCTGCTGGTACTCCACCGCCGCTGGAGACAGGTGCTGTCAGCGCTCCGTCGGTTGTTTCTGCCTTCTTCAAACCCTTAACCCTCCCCTCCTCTCCCGGTCCCCAATATGGAGCGGGACGAGCAGCGGTACGCCCGGGAAAGTGGTTAACCTAACCCTCCCCTCCCCTCCTCCCCCAGCGTTGAGCGGGACTAGCAGCGGTACGCCCGGGAGTGTGTTACTCTAGAGCAGCGGTACGCCCGGGAATGGTATCCCTGACTCTCCCCTCCCGTCCCCCAGTGTGGAGCGGGACGAGCAGCGGTACGGCGGGAGTGTTATCCCCTCCCCTAACCCTCCCCTCCCGTCCCCAGTGTGGAGCGGGACGAGCAGCGGTACGCCCGGGAGTGTGGTAGCCCTGACCCTCCCCTCCCTCCCCAGTGTGGAGCGGGACGAGCAGCGGTACGCCCGGGAGTGTGGCATCCCTGACCCTCCATTCCCGTCCCCCAGTGTGGAGCGGGACGAACAGCGGTACGCCCGGGAGTGTGGTAGCCCTGACCCTCCCCTCCCTCCCCAGTGTGGAGCGGGACGAGCAGCGGTACGCCCGGGAGCGGTATCCCTGACTCTCCCCTCCCCTCCCTCCCCCAGTGTGGAGCGGGACGAGCAGCGTTATGGCGGGAGTGTAGTATCCCTGACTCTCCCCTCCCCTCCCGCCCCCAGTGTGGAGCGGGACGAGCAGCGGTACGCCCGGGAGTGTGGTAGCCCTGACCCTCCCCTCCCTCCCCAGTGTGGAGCGGGACGAGCAGCGGTACGCCCGGGAGCGCCAGGAGAGGGAGCAGCGGCAGGCCGAGCGGCGTGCCGAGAGACAGACCCGCACCGACGCCATCCGAGACAAATACGGTACGGTAACGACTAACAGCCCTGTTTGGGGAGGGGACTAGGCAGAGCTCAGACAAATACGGTACGGTAACAGCCCTGTTTGGGGGAGGGGACTAGGTGGAGTTCAAGTAAATACGGTATAGTAACTACCCTGTATGTGTGGGGGGGGGGGGGAGGGGAGGGACTATGGCACTAGGCAGAGCTCAGATAAATGCGATACGGTATCGAGGAGGGGGACACGAGGCAGTAGGCAGAGTTAGGACAGATGCGGTACTGCATGCTTTGGGAAGAGAGGCGTCTGTAGTCAGAACTAAAATACGTACCACGAGAGTGGAACTGTAGTGTAGACAGATCAGAGACAAACACGACACGGGGATGTGTGCAATGTGCATTGTGGTCGTGGCTCTGGGGCAAGTGCGGTGCCGCGGGAGGGGTAGGAAAACAGCAGACAGACCTCAAACAAACAGGGTGCGGTGCCGTCGAGAAACAGACACACCTGGGCTAAGTAAGTGACTTTAGGACGTAGGAACCGAACTATTTTCTTTGAGAAAAAAAAACTATTGGTATTTGTATTTCTACCATGATCTTTTACCTGTATTTCTACCATGATCTTTTACCTTTGACGAATAACGCATCCCGCATCCTGTTAACAGTAAAGCAGCAAGGAGACGATGTCTGATCGTAAGTTCCCTTGAACCACGGCCTCAAATTCTCAGCCTGGTATATTTTTCGTCGCTGCTTTTTCCATATTTAGTATGTCGTTGACCTTTTTATCAATCAAAATTTCATCTAAACGTTTCATGCTTTTTACATTGTCAGCCAATTTGGTGTGGCTTTTCTGCACGTAATACAAAAGTCGGGATGTATGTGTGTATATGGAAATCGCTTTGTATCCGCTTTTGTCTACGTTTTCTGTGTGGCGATATGCTGATCGCTGTGAACCTGGTTTGAATGCAGCATGTCAAAACGGACCGTGTCTTTGTTCATGCATGAATGTTTTTTATTGGGTTGTATTTTTTTTTTTCTGGGCACCCATGCCGTCACCATTTTCGTTTGTCTGCCGTGTCCCTCCCATGCTTCATGTCTAGTGCCGCTGCGTGTCGTTTTTTTTTTTCTGCCTGACTGCTGTCTCGTGCCGCCGAGTGTCCGCCTCTGTCGGTGAAGTGTCCAGAGGGGACGCCGCTGAGTGTCCGAACTCTCCGACCGTCCCGTGTGCCGTCTGGGCCTGCCGGGTGTCCGTCGCTGCCGCCGGGGTTGCGCCGTCAGCTGTTGCCAGACGCTCGTCCGTCCTTGTTGCCAGGTCTGTCGTCCCCGGCGCGGGACCCGCCGTACACCGCTCTGTAGGGCGCTGTGCGGCTCGCCCTGCCCTCTACCGGCGGGCGGCGGAGTCTCTCGTTCGGCGGGCGTCCGCCGCGGCGCTGCCGGCCTCCGATCGGGTGATGTACCGCCTCTGTCGCCTCGTGCCGCCGCTTCTGTCGCCTGTGTCCTCCTCTCGCCTCGGTGGCCTTTGCTGTGAACTGAGAGGAAAATTCGCGGACGGGTGCAGTGTGCTGTGATATTGGACTTGCCTTTTTGTTGCAAGATCAGTCATCTGGTATAGGACTAAGGACAAATCACGCAAGCCACAGAAGAGTTCGAGTAATCGGAGCTTCTTTTGCAAAGATGTGGGTTGCATAATTTAGCCGCCGTTATATTCGTATTTAACGTATTTTAATGTCTTCTATCGTAGAACTGTTCACCGTTGACCATATTATCAGTGAGGGCCGAGGGGGTTCCACCGGACGTGAAGCTTTTAGCGGAGCAAATGTGCGTCTGTAGCACGCTTGCTTCTCCTTTATAAACGGTGCTATAAATGTCGGTTGTGATACCCCGTAATTACATATTTATTTACATTTATATCAGATTTTACCGTTACATATCACTGTCACACATTGCTGTTTTACTCGATGTGTTTTCAAATACAAAAGTTATCTTCATTCAGCATCCTTACTCGATTTCCCATATAGGGTCACCATAATTTGCCTCTGAATAAGGTTCATTGACAGTCAGAGATCGTCTCTCGGCCCCCCAGTAGTCAGTGTTTGGTGTTGTTCTACTGAGCTGACTGGCAGTGAGAGCCCGGCTCGGGATGCTGCTGCGACCGCTATTAGCTCCCACCCAGCATGACCTGTGGTCAGGTGACGGTCATCGGGTCAAAGGGTCACAGATCAGGTCAGGTCGGTGGGCGGGGTGGACCGTGCCCGACCATGCGGACGCAAACGTTTACCTCTGAATTACGTAATCATACCGTATACATACTCGGAATTCCCAGATCGGGTTGTTTTGTGAAAAATCTGCGCAGTAATCTCTGTAAAGCACAGGTCATAGCCTCGAAAATCCAACCATTCCACGCATTTTATTTTATTTTGTAATAAGACTGTAGTTGACGTGACCGTGACTTGGCGTGACCGGCGCGACCTCTCCGTCCCCTGTCATTCCCAGCGACCCTCCATCAGCCCAGTTCTGGGGTTCGCACCAGCGGATATCTCTAGGTTTCGGATGAACCATATCGCAGCGCCGTGTCGAAAATCGGCCTGACATCCGCCCTGATAGTGGCACCACGCCGTACCGCTCCGTGTCGCGGTGTGGCGGCGGTCTGTGTACCCACGGTCCGCCACTCCCCCCGGCCGGTCCAAACCACCGTCTCCCTCCCCTCCCAGGGCTCGCCACTCCCCCCCCCCCCGGCCGGTCCAACCCACCGTCTCCCTCCGGGGCCCCGACACTCCTCCTCGGCCGGTCCATCCCCCGTCTCCCTCCCCTCCCAGGGCCCCGGCACTCCTTCCCGGCCGGTCCATCCCGCTCCCTCCCTCCGGGGGCTCACCCCCCCCCCCGGCCGGTCCATCCCCCCGTCTCCCTCCCTCCGGGGCCCGACACTCCCCCCGGCCGGTCCATCCCCCGTCTCCCTCCCCTCCCAGGGCCCGACTTTCCTCCCCGCCCGGTCCAGCCCGCTCCCTCCCCTCCAGGGACTCCGGCACTCCTCCCCGGCCGGTCCATCCCACCGTCTCCCTCCCTCCGGGGGCTCACCCCCCCCCCCCCCTCGGCCGGTCCAGCCCGCTCTCTCCGGGACCCGACACTCCTCCCCGGCCGGTCCAACCCACCGTCTCCCTCCCCTCCCAGGGCTCGCCACTCCTCCCCGGCCGGTCCATCCCGCTCCCTCCCTCCGGGCCCCGCCACTCCCCCCGGCCGGTCCTTCCCACCAGGGTTGTGCTCGACTCAAAAAAAAAAAAAATTGCCGACTCGACTCATCATTCAACTTGAGAAAGCCCTGACTCAACTCTGACTCAAACAAGGAGCTGAATTTTTCCCTTGACTCGACTCATGACTCAAGCGGCTCAATGAAAATATGTGTCGACTCAATCTTGACTCAAATTTTGTGTTGAGTCAAGTGAGTTGACTCAAAATTGACTCAGATAAAAAAGTTGTTGAGCGGGGGGGGGGGGTGAAAAAAATCCGGCAGCAGGGCCAGGGCCAAGTTGTTAACCGGGGGGAGGGGGATGAAAAGCTTGTTTCTAGAAAGTTGAGTCAGCTAACTCATGTTCCTAATGTTTGACTCAACTCAATGTCAAAAGTTATTTTCCTGACTCAACTCTGACTCAACTCAACGCCTTAATGTTTTTGTCCGACTCAACTCTGACTCAACTCAACAGCTCAACATTTTATCCGACTCGACTCAAATCTGACTCATTTGAGTCAGAGTTGAGTCAAATTTCTGACTCGACTCATGAGTCAAGCACAACCCTGCTTCCCACCGTCTCCCTCCGGGCCCCGACACTCCTCCCCGGCCGGTCCAACCCGCTCCCTCCGGGGGCTAGCCACTCCCCCCCCTCCCCCGGCCGGTCCAGCCCGCTCCCTCCCTCCGGAACCCGGCACGCCGACACCGGGTGGTCCATCCCACCGTCTCCCTCCCCTCCCAGGGCTAGCTACTCCTCCCCGGCCGGTCCATCCAGCCCGCTCCCTCCCTCCGGGGCCCGGCACGCCGACACCGGGTGGACTCGGGGCCGGAATTCCCTATCCTCGCCCGGTTCACAGAAATGGCACCGCGCTCGGCGGTCGGGACGTTTTCACCGCATTGTGCGCAGCACCGTTCACGCGTAGTAGCGGCGGTGGAGTCAGTAGACGTGCATAGAGCAGTGAGCAGGACGTGTGCTTCCTATTGAACAAAGGTCGCATTGCCTATCAGCCGACTCGTATTGTTTTAGAGGAACACATCTCACGGCTGAATGATTTTCAATCAATGGTGTCTGCTGAACGGCTGGCGATCTCTGATGGCTGCCACGGCTCACGTTCACATTTTCAAATTTTATTCCGAACCGAGATTGCATATCAGCCGAATTGCTGAGCTGAGAACATCAGCCTGGGCATCAGAACAGTGCTGGGCTTGGAACTGGGGAGTAGTTTGGTTAGCTGCTAGCAGCGTGGTATGTTCGGTGCGCGATGAAAGGTTGACCTGGAGTCGGGGCGAGGTAGGGACCAGCTGACCTGGAGTCGGGGCGAAGTAGGGACCAGCTGACCTGGAGGTTGGGAGAAATAGGGACCAGCTGACCTGGAGCTGGGAAGAGACGGGGACAGATAGTGCTTTACCGATGCGTTATTGGCTGAGGGTCTTGAAAGGGCGAACATAGAACTATTTGGAACACAAAAAATGGATTTACGGATGACAAAGTCGGACCAATAGCTAACCGTGAGTCGGGTTAGGTGGGAACGTGACGAAGCGTTTGATGTTTTATCCCTTCCGCTTTGCCGGCATACAGTGCCCAGTACTTTCACCTCGTTGTGACGCCGTATTGCAGGTCTCAGCGGCACCAGCCAAACGGGAGTGGGCAAGAAATCCAAGAAAAACTACCAGCGCCTTCCGTAGTCTCCCGCGTCTCCGCCTGAGAAAGTGATTTTGTGCCTGGGGACCGGGACCTCGCCGGGTCCCTAGGCGAGGCCCTTTGAATAGTCAATTGAGGTCCTTTGGTTTCGTTGAGCCTTGCCCATTTCTTAAGTCAGCGTCGCTATTTATATCGTATGACATACATGGAGGATGTTTAAGGTCGTAGAACAAATAACTGCCTGTAGAATTGAACATGGCATATGATGCCACTTTTATCAATCATACACTGTTATGAGTTCCCATGCCCTACTTGTTCGTGCTTCGTTTTACATAACCATATGTTGTTTAGTCACATGACATATGTTACCTTGCAATAGCTTCGTTTACCTTGTCTGTCTCGCTCACTGTCAATACAATGTATTTAATCATATCGAGATGATTTTTTATCATCTTGGTGCTCCCGTCCCTTCCCTTATCGATGTCTCGTCCCGCCCTCCGGGTCAAACCGTCACCGTTGGTTGACTCCAGTCGAGTCAACTCCGGAAACCTGCTGTCAATTAGAGCGCGGCCTATCTCTGGGCACAGGACTGTGGTGCTGGCTCGCCAACTGGTGGCCGCCTCCGAGTTTTGACTTCAGCTCATTGTGTCCCTACCCCTGTCGTCATCTGGTCCTGCAATAGCAATAGGTCACACACAGCAAAATACTCGTACATGAGAATGGTTGGCTACTTTTGGCCAACCATTCTCATTCTCATTTTTGGTTTGGCTAAGAAATGTCTGCATTCATTTCAGTAGCGGCGGAACACCTTAAATTAAGGGGGGGGGGGGCACTGCCGACTTTTGGTCCCATTCTCGCTATGCAACGCCCATAGGGCTAATCAGAGGTCGATAAAATGCTTGGAGTTGCTCCAACGAACATCTTAGTCCCATCACTGTCTCCAACTTAGCCCTCGCCTGGCGGGAGGGGGGATGCAGCCTCCCTAAGTTTTTTTTTCGCGAATAGCGTAAAAGGTGGTGTCGCGTAGCGCCGCAAAATTTGGCACAACGTCTGGGAATGAGCCTCTTGCGATATATCCTGAAAATTTCAGGTGCCAGTCATTTCAGGACCTGGACTATGACTATGAAAAGTACGACCAGTGTTGGTACTCACACCTTTCCTTTGAATTAGACGGATAAACAGGCGCCATGCCTATAAATTCGCCCAAGCAAATGATATGCTAGATGAACAATGCATGCACGCACAACTGTCTAATCACTGCCAATTGCCGCGTCGGCACACCGGCATCTCCTCACCTTCTCCCCACACGGCCTTGACTCCCCGTCCCCAACTCACACCATCACACTACTGCATACGGTGACCGGTCACACGGTGGATCTGAATGCCTACGTTTTCATGCCAAAGTCTGAAACAACTAACGATTATCATCAGCGTAGAAATGTTGAAATTTAGCATTTTAAAGCTTTTAACTTAAAACTTTATAAGTGTGTTTTAACGCACTTGTCCTTATTGATTGAGAAAAGAGCGCACTTTTGATCGTATTACCTTATACGAAGTAACGCAATCGAAGTGTGATTCCGGTCCACTGTGCGTTTTCAGGCGCGCTCGATAAAACACCCAGGCCTGGAGAAAGTTGGAAGGGCGATTTTCTGATCCTCCTTACCACAAAATGACCCTAAGCGAAAAAATGCCCGCGGGGCGCTGCCAACGCGTGCCAGCGGCCCTGCTAGTAAGGGCGAAAATCAATGCATGTATATGCGGAGCACACCCTTAGCGCTACGATGGCTCCTTGGAGACACCTGGAGAAACCTCTGCCGGCAGAAGGGTCAGGTCCCTCGCAGACGGCGCGGCACGGCGGGAGCTTAGCGGGTGGCCTAGCCGGAAAGAGGATAAAAATAGCCGACTGGCCCGACCCAGCGAGGGGTAACCGAAGGGTGACCAGGAGTGAATGAGGGAACATACACGCGGTACCGAGCAGCCGATAACAGCACCGGACGATTAGAAAGTCATAAGTCAATGCTGTATTTTAGGCGTAAGGAAGCATCCATGTAGACGGGCGGACTGTCTCCAGCTCTTCCAAGTATTGCTAATATCTTGCTCCAACGAGCGTTGGCACGTTGGAAGTTTTATCGACCACTGGGGCTAATGTTAAAATGCCAAAACCAAAGAGGGGCACGGTGCCCTCCCCGTTCCGCCGCCTATGATTCATTTATCATATCTGCTTCCATTTCGCAAGCTGTTGATAGTCAGCCGCGACCTGAGCCGCGATGTGCGGACTACAGTCTCATTGGGCCTTGCTCGTGACCACTGGCCAGTCATATTTTGGGGTGATAAATGATAACCGATATGAATGAATGAACTTATTCATCTCCGATATGTTTCCGTGTTCATTCAAGTGACATTGCAAATGATAATGTGAATTGTATGATAGGTTAAGTAACCTTTTGAGGTTGCTTTAGAAAAAGATCCGATCTTTTTCTTGCTTCGTCCTCGAGACAAAGGGCGCGAACGTGTTTCTGGCAATATCTGCAAGAAATTGCTTTTAAATTAGTAGCAGCGTTCGCCAAATCGATACGGAAGGAATGTGGCGCAGCTGCTTCGTTTCCAGCGCCCTCCGTGTTTTGGTGCTCGGGGACTGGGGTGTCCGTGTTTTGCGTTGCAAAGTTCAGTGAATTTTTGATATTTAAGAAAATAAAGTGCATTTCAAGTGAGGATAGGTTCCGGCCTGAGTTAAATATTATCTTGTGGGAAACAAGTGGGATTTCGGATGCATTTGTGACTGAGTAACAAGATTGTCATGAAGGCTAAACAGCCAACATCAAAACCTCAAAATGAAAAAGCCAAACTAAATCATTATGGTGAGTAAAATATGAGTTATTTGTGTTTTGCTGTCAGTTTTAATCATTCTTTATGAAGTACCATAGTGAAAAACTTGACTTCAACTCTGGGTATGATTGCCATCAGGAAAGTCTGTTTGGTGAGCTTTGGTTTTTTGGTTTTGGTTGTTACTGTTGGTGGACATAACACATAAACCTACATAATTTACATATAAATAGGACTTGCTACTTTTTAAAGTCATATTGATGCACGTCTATTAATTTCATTTAGTTACATATCTTATTGTGCTTTGTGAAGATAAATTTGTTCTTGTGCAACTGCAAGGCATGTAACATTGCAGCTCATTGTCCACTTCAGGCAGAGTTCAAATTAATTACAGTTAACCCTCGCCGGCCGAGGGGGGGGGCGGGTGCCGCCCCCCCATAGGGTTTTTTCGCGATAGCTCCGAACACGCTGGCGATAGCGAGCTGAAACTTGGCATACCTGACCTTTGATCCAAGCCGCATCTTTTGACACCAACCGCATTTTTGGGTCAGGTCAGGTCACTGACCTATGACGTCATAAGTGAACCTCTGCACGGTCTTCAGATGTCGCAACTTCGCAACGCCCTCACTGCCAGAGGAGATGTCACAGGGAAATGAAACTTGCAAGATCTAGTATCCATTATGAGTCCCACAACTTGTATATCTCGGATTTTTCCTAAAGGTCATATGAGGTCAGGTCATTTTCGTGACCTCACCATTATAAGTCAATGGGGAAAAATGAAAACTGCTATTCTGACGCCGGGAACGATCTCCAACTATCTCAAGCACACAGAATCGTGATTTTATGCACTCCTTGCAAGGTTAGATGCGTCACTTTTGCAATGTTGACCTTGCGTGACGTCATTTATGACGTCATCAAGGTCATATTAGTTTTTCGTCAATAACTCTTGATCAAATTGAGCTAGCGAGTCGGGAAAGCCACCAATGGACTCAGGAAGACCTGCCGAATCGAATGATATGCGACATGACCTCTTTCGACCAACTTCGTGACCTGGGGGTGCTGACCTGACCTTGACCTGAGGTCAACACCCCAAGTTGACCTGACCCGGACAAAAAGTATATCATTCGACGCGCCTGAGCAAGACGAACACGATGCTGCCAAAATCGGCGCTCTGCGGCCGTTTTTTGCGAAGTTATTCACCAAAAACTGAACCGTACCTTGGGGCACTTGACCTGACCTCAGAGGTCACCGGTTGACCTAGGACCTTAAAATCGGGTACCAATCTCTGCGTCTCGTAACGGCGCACACGCTCGTTTTTTCCGCGACGCGCTAGCTCCACCAGGGGCGAAACGGCGAGGGGGGGGTCGTACCCGCCCCCCCCCTCGGCCGGCGCGTATGTAGAAAACCAATAGGTCCGGCGAGGGTTAACCCTTTTTGCTAGATATTGATTAAGTGCTAAATATCATTTACTTTAATTGAATTTGGACCTCAGTATTATCTGAATTCAGTCGGCTGGCTCATGGCTGGCCAGCTGGTGACATGTTATAGCTTCCGTAGGTACTTATAGATATAAGCATGGCAGTAGATGGACATAAACACAAAAAATGGCATTAGTGGAGAAATTGATAAATATTACAGTTATTTGGTCTTTTATATTTAGCATTGATATACAACAAGCTCTAGTGCCATCATATGGCAGAAGCTGGCAAATAATCCAGTTAGGTAATACTGTGGCCAGAATTTGTGGGGACTATGCCCCAATGGTGTGTTTCAAACTAACTTTCCGGGCTCACCAACTGGCATAACTTTCCAACTATTTCTTCAGATTTTTAGGAATCCTCTTAGGTATTTTGTCTTCTTATACACTGCTGTGCGATTTCAAGCAGTTTTTTTTTCAATTTGTTTCATTTTCTCTGAGTGGTAAATGACAACATTCATATGTAGGTAATTGTTTCATGGTTGAATGTGTTTGATACTTTAGTTAGTAGGAACCTTGTGAATAACTGTATTTATTAATATCATTCCACCCATTTCAGGCTACAGCTCCAACTCTAAAAACATGCTGATGCTGGGTTTCGATGAACTAAGCCCACTCTATGTTTGCTTGGTTCTTCTGAGGTTCCTGCTCTGCATTATCCAGACTGGCTACATTCACCCAGACGAGTTTTTCCAGTCCTTGGAGCCAGTGGCAGGTAAGCAGCTAGTATGTGCATTGTGCATTGCCTTTTGCTTAACAGGTATATTTAATGAGTCAAGCTAGAGTGCTTTCATTTTACCATCATTTTCACACCCACAATGTATGTATATTTTCATATATTTTGACCATGCCTACCCTTTTTAGTTAGATGACTTATGAGTTATTGAATGCTTGTTCATCAAAATGATGTCTTCTTGCCACTTGGTTTTTAAGTGATCATTGGTGATCTGATGTGCTGCTATCCCAATTTAAGCTAGGTCATCAATGTATTTCACTAAAAGGCATCGGCAATGAATTTGCCCCATTATATTGTCCAATGCCTAAATTGTCCCTGTCCGACATGTAATGCCTGCGATCAGTGTGCAGTTCTGAGACCCCCCCCCCACGTTGCAGGCCAGTTTCTCGCTGTGAACGTGACGGTGCCGTGGGAGTTCTCCTCTCGGCTGCCGATCCGCAGCTGGAGCTCGCTGCTGCTCAGCTCTGGACTGCCAGTGCTGCTGCTGCGGCCCGCCAGCGCCGAACTGCTGCTGGCTGCGCCCCGGCTCTGGATGGCCCTGCTCTCGCTCTCCGTGGACGTGTGTGTGGCGGCCTGCGCGCGCCTGCTGGGCCGGCCGGCGCGCCGCTGTCTGGAGGCGCTGGCCGGCAGCCACGTGATGCTCGTGTTCGCCACGCGCACCTTCTCCAACGCGCTGGAGCTGGCGCTGCTGGCTGCCCTGATGCTGGTGACGATGCGCAGCCTGGCGGCGTCGGGCCGCGCGGCCGAGGCCGAGGCGCGCCTGGAGCGCCGGCTGGCCGGCTCCCAGTACACGGTGCACCGGCTGCAGCTGGGCGAGGCGCGCGCCGCCGTGCGCCGCGCCGCCACCGCACACTGCGCCGCCGTCAGCGCGCTCCTCTGCGTCGGCGTGTTCGTGCGGCCCACGTTCGTGCTGTTCGCCGCCGCGCCGCTCCTCTACTGGCTGTTCCGCGGCGCCGGCGACGAGAAGGACAACCTGGTGCAGATGCGGCTGGTGCGCGTCGTGCCGATCTCGCTGGCCCTCGTCACGGCCATTGTCATCATGGACTCGATGCTGTACGGCTGGATGTCGTTCGCCAACCTGATCGAGGGCACCGTCACCCTGGACCACGTGGTGCTGACGCCTTTCAACTTCATCGTCTACAACGTCAAGTCGGCCAACCTAGCCTCTCACGGCGACCACTGGTGTCTGACGCACACGCTGGTCAATGTGCCGCTGCTGTTCGGTAGCCTGGGCGTCATCGCGCTCGGCTCGTTCGTCCTGCACCTCAAGTCGTTCGCGCGCCACCTGCTCAACCTGGACCTGCACGTGACGACGTCGAGCGCGTTCCTGTCGGCCAGCTTCCTGTTGCCGCTGGTGCTGCTGTCGTGGTTCCCGCACCAGGAGCCGCGCTTCCTGCTGCCGCTGCTGGTGCCCGTGGTGCTGCTGTTCGCCGACCGGCTGGACGCCTCGCCGGGCCGCTGGCGCAACACGCGCCGCTTCCTGGTGCTGGCCTACTACTGCTGGAACGCCGCCTGCGTGCTGCTCTTCGGGTTCGTGCACCAGGGCGGCGTGACGCCGGCGCTGGCGGCGCTGCAGCGCGCCCTGCCGGCCGCCGGCGGCGCCACCGTCGTCTTCAGCCACACCTACATGCCGCCGCAGTCGCTGCTGCTGCGCTCAGACGTGGAGCTGCACGACCTGGCCGGCCGGCCGCTGCCCGAGGTGGCGCGCCTGCTGACCGACGTGACCGGCGCCAGCCGCGGCCGGCCCGTGTACCTGGCGCTGCCGGCGCCGCTCGAGGACCGGCTGACGGCGCTCACCAGGAGCTCGCTGCGGCTGCGGTCGACCCGCCGCTTCTGGCCGCACCTCAGCGTGGAGGCGGCGCCGTCGTTGGGCCAGGTGGCGCACCAGTGCCGGCGCGACTCGGCGCCGCGCGCGCTGACCTGTCTGCTCGGCGGCGTCGGCCGGCAGCTGAACCTGGTGCTGTTCGAGGTCACTGCCGTGTCACCGGCACCCACCGCCGCGGCCCGGGACTCGACTCGCGCCGCGCGCACCAGGGCACCGGAGCTCCACGCGACGGAGGAGGACGAGGAGATCGGGACCGTCGGGATCGGCGCGGCCTAGCTCAGCTCGGTGGGTCGCCGCGCGGCTGGGGCGACTCAGAGTGGCCGGGGGGCTGATCGGTCGCCTGAGGACAGGGCAGTGGCGCTGGAGCGACCTCAGTGCGGCTGGTGGTGTCTGCCGCCTGCTGCAGAGACCCCCAGCTGCAGCACGTCGGGCCGTCCGCTCGACGAGGGACGGGTGTGATCCAGGCCCGTTTACTCACAGTGTCTTATGCTGGGTGAGGCCGGCTAATTATTCACACATTCCACCAGCCATTCTTCTGAGCACGTCGAGCTGTAAATGCTCTGCCGCTGTCCGGACCTGCGCCTGCTGAGCACTTCATCACCTTCACTTTGGTCAGGTGGCCACACACATCTGTCTACGGCCGTGTGGTCCCGGGTTGTGCTGGGGCCGCGGCGCTGCTCGCCTCGAACGGACCCTTCCCGCTGCTGCACAGTCAGCGCCTGTTTCGGAGTGCCGGGACCTCAGCGAACTGACGTTTACACCGGCTCTCGAAGGAGCCTTCACTCAAAATTATCAGTCGCCGCCGCTGCAGAAGCTAAATGATTTGCAGGTTCAGGTCATGGGTGGTTCGCGGGTGCTGTAAAATCATCGCTTGTGTTATTCTGTTAGTTTTTAGAAAAATGCTGTGAGGCATCGAGTTGCGTTGCTTTTGTGCATACCAGCCACGGCATAGCGCTTTGTCCAGATCTCAAAGATTACACATGTTTTGCTTTTGTATCGTGATAGCACATTCTAGTCAAGCTGTTTCCGTCTAATTGAGCTTTGTGCTTCACCGCACGACACAATAAGCCCTAGGCTATTACAATTATTTGTCGTCTTCAAGTCATTGGCTGAAGTGATTCAATGCATTTTACGATTAATATATTTCGAGTGTTCTAATTGCTGTTCCCTGCTTTTTTCCATTTCTGCCAACAGGGCTGCGTTTGCCTCTCGTAGGATAGTTGACGCTTGCCTGAGAGGCTCTGCACAGGTGTCGTCCTTTTTCCGTAATAGCTCGTAGCTAGCTAGACGCATCGAAACCGCGCTTTCAGTGCATTTAGCTTCATTCGACACCTTGTGTCCGAAGGAAACTTTCGTAGCTTTCTTAGCTGTGATATCAGGCTAGCCGGAAATGACGGAACAGTGAATCGGTCAGTTTTAATTTAGAATGGTATACTGACGGCATTCACTGTCACGAGCGCAGTTTTCAAGCCGTGTGAGGGTGGGGGAGGTGGCGTTTTCACACCTCTCGTTTTTTTCTCTGGCGAATTGACTGCCACCTGCTACCTAGCTGCTGTCATCTGAAAAAAACTGCTGTGTGTCTCGGATTTTGGATATCGATCCGGTCAATTTCGCGACCTCCATTATATCAATGTAAGTGTAACTGCGCCATTTAAGAAGTCTTACTAAACAGTAAAAGCTCAAACATCGTGAAGCAGGTATTGGAATGTGTCACGCAACGCCCCATCCTGAGTTCATCTTAGGAGGAAGGTCATAAAAGGTCACCAGCAGTTTTTTTACGAAAACTTTTATTAGACCGATGAAACCTTTTGCATGCGTTCAGCTCGAAGATATGGATCGACTGATATAAACATTGTCTTTTTCAGTCATGTTATGACCTTGACATTAGGTCAACTTTCCAAATTGATTTTTTAAGGTCAAAGTATATGTCGGTCGATGCGTCTCGACAAGATGCAATGTCGATAAAAATCAATGTCGCACAATCTTTGTGTCTGAAATAGTCGCCCAAACAAACTTTTCCGACAAAACCGTCCATTTGGATGGTTTTCGCCCTGATGCGATTAAATCGTTGCTGAGGAGTTGACACAGAAATACCAGTAAAAGAGCCATCAAATGTTTTTCAGCGATAGTGAGATGGCATTGTTTTCGAAAAAAATGTTAACTTTTTGTTTTAGTAAGGGAATAATCGACTAATTTCAATCCAAATTTCTTAGCAATCAATGAAATAACTCAACTCAGTCTCAAATCCTCACATCTCGTAACCTTCCGATGTCTGCAAACAAGATTGTCGATAGTGTTTGCGAGCTGGAGATGCGACTATCAGTTTGGTTTGAGAGAAGATCCCTAGCATCTTCGTCGTGTTGCATTGCGCAGTGTCTCGATGAGCCCCTAGGAGGCGGACTGTGCCGCAATGGCACCGCCGATGGCTATTAACCCCCTCCAGCTCGGCACAGGGCCTATTTTAACATGTTAACTGGGGGGGGGGGCAAATGCCCCCGCACTCAACAGAATTGCCCCCCCCCAGTCGTCGAGATTTGCCCACTATAAAAATGGGCATACAGGAATAGGGTGACAAACATACTACTGTGACTTGTTCTGCAATGGATGTCAAATGAGTCAATCTGCAAGTAATGACCAGTGGTGGATCCAAGGATGGGTCATATGGGTCATGACTCCCCGCCCCCTTGGGAACCGGGGACATCACAGGCCTGCCAGGGGCACCACCCGCCTGTCAGGGGCACCACAGGCCTGTTGGGAGCACCATCGACCCAGCAAGAGCACCATAGGTCTGCCAGGGGCACCACAGACCTGCCAGGGGCCCCACCGACCTCGCAGGGGCACCTTGGGCCTGTCAGGGGCACCACTGGCCTGTCGGGGGCACCACAGGCCTGTCAGGAGCACCATCGGCCTAGCAAGAGCACCGTAGGTCTGCCAGGGGCACCACAGACCTGCTAGGGGCCCCACCGGCCTCGCAGGGGCACCACCTTGGGCTTGTCAGGGGTATTTACCACCACAGGCCCGCCAGGGGCACCACAGGCCTGCCAGAGGCACCACAGGCCTAGCAAGGGCACCACGGGCCTGTCGGGGGCACCTCAGGCTTGTCAGGGCAAAGGGACACCACAGGCCTGTCAGGGGCACCACAGGCCTGTCAGGGGCACCAGAGGCCTAGCAGGGACACCACATGCCTGGCAGGGACACCACCGGCCTCGCAGGGGCACCTTGGGCATGTTAGTGGCACCACGTGCCTGTCGGGGACACTCCAGGCTTGTTAGGAGCACCACAGTCCTGTCAGGGCCCAGGGGCACCAGCGGCCTAGCAGAGGCACCACCGGCCTAGCAGGGACACCACCGGCCTCGCAAGGGCATCATGGGCCTGTCAGGGGCACCACGGGCCTGTCGTTGGAACTTCAGGCTTGTCAGGGGCACCACAGTTCTTTCAGATGCACCGGCTGCTTAGCACCATGGCACCATGTTTGGCCGGGATCGCGATTCGGCGTATGTCGCCTCGCATTAGCCGCGTGTTTGCAGTCTTTTCGTGGTTTCAAACGTTCAAACATGGGATATGATGTTGCTCCCATGCATTAGGGTGGGTGTCAAGGTCACCGGAAGGTCAGGTCATTTACCTTTGATGACCTCGGTTCACATTTTCGAGTTTTATATGTTTCTAGGCTAGTTTTTGGAGCTGAATTCGAATTTAGCAACCATTTGACCGTTTACGAAGTAGTTTTGGTGCCTTTGTAACATGTTACGAAGCTGTCAGACGCGGTTGCCACCTATAACTACGAATAGGGTAGAGTGGGGCAAAGCGCCCAGGGCGGGTCAAACGCCCACCCCTCTTTTTTATGAAGTGCTCGACTTTTCGAAGAATTCTCGATAGCCATTTTCAAGAACGAGCAGGAATCTACTTTTGCCCCCTTTTTCGGTTCTATAAGTGGGTTGTTCTGGACGTAAGATAAAGATTAGTTTATTTCAGACAATTTTTAGAAATTACATGTTTTCATACTACTAAAACTTTGTCTGATAGAGATTAAAGTAGGCAATGAAATTTAGCTACGCAGAACCTGCGGATTTAAGCTATGTTTTGATTATTTACTGGTTTGCAACACAATCGTCACACGCTTAATTTTGGTGGACTTCGTTTTAAATGTGCTGTTGGGGTAATACGCCCACTTTGGTGTGGGTCAAAACGCCCATCATGGGCGTTTTACCCCTAATGGGAGTTATACAGTACGGGTATTTGCGAACATTTTTGGCTGAAAGTGAGTGTCGGGATACGTTTCTAATGCTCAGGATTCTTATGAAATATGCAATATACTGGTTAGTATCGCTTGGAACAATTTATTCGCACGAACTAATCTCCGCTCTCCAAGGCGGTGACAGCCCGTTGACTGAATGAGGAGTGGGGTGGTAACAACAGTGTTCAAGATGTGTTTAGTGGTGTAATCTATCGATTTAAAGTCAAACGAAATGAGAATGGATAAATACTGCATTCTTTTGTCAGAGTACCGAGCGTGTAATGAAACGTTCAGGACTGGGCGTTATGCCCCACTCATATGGGCGTTATGCCCCATGGGTGGGGCAAAACGCCCGATTTGTAGTCCTCTCAATTTGGATGGCATATCTCAAAAACCATGCATGCCACTTGTTTCTGATGTGTTATTCAAAGAAAGACAAGGTAATGAGCTACCAGATCAGCTACCTAGTTGTCTTTCAAATTTGTAAGATAAAGAGATACTGGGGCTGGAAAGTTAGGGTGGGCGCTTTGCCCCACCCTACCCTACCCGACAAAACCCTTACCTACTGGTTGAACTGACCTGACATGACCCGACCTGGCCTAAATGCATGAAGACATCATCTATGATCATAACTAACATGATATTCGTGATCAGCACCCCGAAGACAAACATAGCAGCCACCCTTTACGACGCTCTAACAGGTCCCGATTTTCCCGACTTTTGGGTCATTGACCTGACCTGGAAGGTCAACCGATGACCTAGGACCTTAAACTTGGGTATCATCGGCTTCCTCTCGTCACGGGCAACACGCTCGTTTTTTCCGCGAAGCTCTAGCTCGATCAGGGGCGAAACGGCAAGGGGGGTCCAACGCCCCCCCCCCCCATATACGTTCGCAGCTGGAAAAACACCAATACGGGCGAGGGTTAATGGATTATTAAAGACAGTTTTCCAGGTTGCCCCCCCCCCCCAGTCAAATTCCCTTAAAATAGGCTCTGGCTCGGCACCACGAGCTTATCAAGTCGGCCGTCCCAGCATAGCGATCCTGAGAGCACCGTCAAAGCTGCTCCACTAGGCCGGCCAAATTACCCCGCATTGCCATTCTGAAAAGTTTCGCCTATACAGTCGTTACGGTTATACGAAAATAAATGAAATTACTCTTGAAAACGCTGAATACACTAAGCAATGGACCGCAATGTCGAAATGTGTCTACAGCCTGAAATCTATATGCTATACAATTTTTCGAACGGAAGCAAAAGTTACCATTTTCAAATCAAATTCATGCTTTATTGATTTTGACGAAAATTACGAAAGGGAGATCTAAAAAAAATCCACGGATTAGTTCGACCAATGACACATGAATAGAAGCTAGAATTATTTCATTCATTTTTGTCAGATATCGTAAAGGTGGGGGCGGCCAAATTATACTGCCGGCCAAATTACCCCATCCTCCCCTACACAGGTTGATGTGGCTCGGGCTGGATGTAGGTAATATTAGTGTCACCCTTAACGCTTTCCCATAGACACATTGTCCTGTTGTTTATGATCTACTGTTGCTACTCCTCAACCTATCACGAGATGAAGTTGCATTTGTGAGGAACGTGTAATCTTTGCAACCCGTCACGAAAAGGTCTATAATACAAGGCCATACGTAATCTGGGATTCCACGATGACATTGCTGATATTGCTCTACATACAGTCGTGTACAGGTTGATGGTCCGCTACTCTTTATCCACCGGGTTCCTATGGCTCAGCATTGGCAGCAGCCGCCTGGTACCGGTAGGCTGTGCCGCATGACCCGAGAGTGAAGCGGCACAGCCTACCCACACTGTATGACACCGGCTCGGGTCGCCTGGTAGAGCGATTTGACCGGACGCTGCGTTACACCGGCTGGGGGGAGGGGGGAGGGTAAAGGTCAGGCCTGTCTATTTGGC